GATGGTGTTATGCTGTGCGATGTCATTTATTGCAAGCTTGCGGCACGATTACACGGGTGTTGGAATATGGTTTAAGCTGTGGGACAGCGGATATCCCAGATCGATCTCTGCAGGCGATCCCCATCGCCGCTGCGTTGTGGGCCTCTTAAGCTATGCATGAGACCTTGACTGACCGATAGCTCACTGCCATGCGGAGATGCGATGCACGCTGAGCATGTGGTCGTTGTTGGCTCGGTGTCCGGTTGCAGCCATGCGGAGCGCCCGCCGCTTCAGCGGCGTGAAGCGCATGGTGAGGGATACGGGGCCGACCCGCAACGCCCGTATTTGGCAGCGATAAATCACGCTGGTAATCAGCACCGACAGCAAAACTCTGTGGTCGGACGTGGAAGATTACTCTTTGTCGATCTTATAACAAGCTTATTATCCAGCCCGGTCTGGTATCGGAACATCTCAGCTATGTATTTCCATAAGAGCCTGGAGGCCAGTGCGTACACGGAACATGCGGGCATCGTTATCCAGGGGGATGATATAAGATCCACCTAGTCAGACCACGTCAGTGGACTTACTCGGACTCGGTATGAAACAGTGTATCCTGCCAGTGGAGCTGTTTATATATTTACGGAATGACAAAGACGAGGTATTTGTAATAAGGACAAACTAATTGTCCCGATTATCGTTTTCGGCTGATGTATTTCTACGTGCACAATGTTTCGATCAATTATAATCTGGCCGTCGCCGAGCGCTATTGTGTCCTGGCGGTGTCCGACGTTCTGCCATGTACGCATCATATCCCAATCTTTCTCCCTGGTTGGCATTCGAACCGAGGTCGTGTGTTTACGAGCCGAGCGCGTTACCAGTGTGCTAGCCGAAGGGAACTCCGCGGCTAGTAAGCTCAGGTCATACGTTTGGGTTTTCTGTAAAGCTGAGCTCTATTGACGAACAACAAGCTAGCAAGCATGTTTCCCTTGCTTGGCCCTACGTTGCTCTGTATGCTTGCGTTGCTCTGCTTCTTTTTGATCCTAAGGCAGGCAGTGTCTCAGGATCGTCGGCTCTGGGTGCAAAAGCCCCATGAGGAGGAATTTTTCACTTCTTTCTCCCATATTTTATGCGAATTTTTCGCTCCTCCCTGACATTGTCTAATCGCAATACCCAACCCATATTTCCCTTTCCAAGGATTTAAGATGTCATACAAAACCACTCACTTGATACCAAGGAGCAAATGCAAGCCTCTACGGAACCTGGACACCTATAGCTATATCCTGCCTCACCTACATCTGAACAATGTCTATGTATGCACGTAGAAAGGGCACCAGGTACTATCAAGCCCGAGAGCCCCAGTGACTCCAGCCCCTCGCATGCACCAAGTTTGGTTCGTTTATAAAATGCATCACAATCGGCAGTTGTGTGCCTACTTCAAGGTTTCCACGCATCCCCAATTTTTTGGTCTCACCGCGCAAGTACCAACACCGTCAAAACAAAGCCTGGTACGAATAGCAGCATAGCCTGGTAGAGAACTTGACTCCACGCATTTATTTTACCCTAAGCGGCTTGAACACTAAATTGCGTCACTCCCGAAATGCAGGAGTGACAAATTTAAGAAATGTCTTCTGAATGAAATTCAAAAGCTTAAAATCACCATTATAACACTCATTTTCACACTGTTTAGTCAAATCAGCGAATAACGAATTTGCCAAAAAAAGCATCATTCTATTTTAATTCACTTACTTTTGTTTTCTTGGTATCATACAAGTGTGGCACAACTCCGTGTTTCTTACCTTTCTGATTGCCTTTAAAGATACAGTCTATGGCTTTTAGAATGTTGAAAAATTTGTCTACGAAATGCTCCAACTGCAAACTTGCACGTATTTCATACAGAAATTGGATTATTATTCGCCTTGCCGCTCAAGAATGTTTGATTTGTACCCAAGAGTAAACAATTCGAGGGAATGAAAGAGACAATTTGAGGCACGGGAAAGTATTCCCTACCGCCATTTTTTGCCCTGTTTTAAACCTCGGTTACCTGTCTTTTTGGTTTATGGCGGTGCTCACTAATGATAACTATAAGCTGTTCCAGTTTTGCTATCTCACCGCGTTACATTATCCTGACGTACATGGCTTTGGGACAGACCTGACGTATCTGATACAGAAATGTATTATAGCAAAATTCTGCCCTCTGGAACTATTTATCATGCACATCTCCCCTTACTTGTTTCGCACTTTAACCTTGTCTGGTGGTGGGTATGGTTGATATTTATATTTTGCGGGTGGGTTGGATGACCCCGTCTGTCAGCAAACCATACAAAAGGTGC